GAGTCACAGCTCCGATTCAAGAAGGGAAATCATCCGAGCTTTTAAAAAATTAAATGGAGTCAGTAATTTGATTTCAGGGAGAAGCTGAAAACCTCGTAATGGCAGGAGCAGCTCAATTCCGTGCTGAAAAGGAAAAGCCTTAAATGGGGCTATTAAGCTCTTGCTGGGATGGATCTGCCTGGAGGTGGGGGGGGGGGGCAGGGGGACGCGTCCTGGAGGGAGAGACCGTTTATCAGCCGAGACAGCCCTGATTATTTATTTATTTATTTGTTTGTTTCGCGGGCCGGGCGTTGCGGAAGGCCTCTCTCCTTGGCTGCGTTTCAAGTCCCACTTCCAGCGATGAGCCGGCCCCCGGCAGCGGGGAGGGGAAGTGGGGGGGAAGCCACCTCCCAGGGAAGCACCTAGGGCCACCCCGGCTCAGGCCTCGGCTGGGCTTCTGGGCCAGCGAGTCTGAGAGCGCTGGCGACCCCCAGGGGTCAGTGGGGTCACCGGAGCTGTCCAAGCCAACCGGGTACCAGCCGCTGCCATGGGAACCAGGGCAAAGGAGTGGTGAGGCACGAAGACACAGCAGTAACACTCCTCCTCCTCCCACGGGGTCCTGCAGGCACCTGGGCCAGGGGCCTCTCACACCACAGGGTCTTATCACCCCTGCCCAGAGGTGTCGGAGCCCCGGCTGAGACTTTCCACACGCTCCTGGAGTGAGCAGACCTCCCTCCGCCTGGGCCTGGGGCCCCACAGCTCAGCCGCTCTGGACACAGCAGTCGTGACCGCAAGAGTGGCTCACAGGTCGGAGCACATGCTGGTGTGGGGCCTGCACTCGACGTTTTGTGTCCGTTTCTTCACCGACCCCTCACTTCCCCCACTTGACTGATCAGGAAATTGAGGCACAGAGAGGTTAGTGCCTTGCCCAAGGCCACACAGCTAGAGTGAAGGGACTGGGAGTTCACCTGCGGGCTGCAGAGCCAGTGGCCTTTCCCTCCCCCGCCTCCTACACCTCCCCCGCCCCCCAACAGCGAGAGGGGCAGCAGGCCAACGCTGGGCTGTGCACTCAGCAGGCGGAAAACACGCCTGGACCCTGCCCACCCCACTCCTCTGAACTTGGGGTCCCTTGGGGCACTTCCAGGACTCACTCTGGCACAGGGGCCTCTCAGAAGCCCCTGCATGATATTCTGCGGCTCAGGAGGCCCGAGGTGTTCAGGGCTGGTTGCCAGTGTGGGCTCTGCCGGCTCCCGCTGGGTGTCCCCTGGGCAGCAGGGAAGGGGCTTGAGGCTCAGCCAGGCTGGTCGAGTCTGCTGGATGTGAGGGGGGCCCCCACTCAGACTATTCCACCAGCTAGCTGGGTGGCTCCAGGCCTCGGGGTCTCTCTGATCCTCACGGATGAGGCTGGGGGTGACTCCAGGCCTCGGGGTCTCTCTGACCCTCACGGATGAGGCTGGGGGTGACTCCAGGCCTCGGGTCTCTCTGACCCTCCCATGGATGAGGCTGGGGGTGACTCCAGGCCTCGGGGTCTCTCTGACCCTCACGGATGAGGCTGGGGCTTCTGGGAGGTGGAGGCCAGGGGGCTCACCTGACGAGTGCCAGGTGGCTGGTTTTGCTGGCAGCGGCTGAGCAGTAAGAACTGGTGGGGGGCAGGGGGCACTGCTGGGCCCACCTTGTGCCTCCCATGGTCCTGAGGCCCTCGGATGGGCCCTGAGCCTGGCTGCCGCCACCACACGGTGGCAGGATGCATGGTTAGGGCAGTGGATGTGTCCCCAGCAGAAGGGTGAGTCCTGGCCGCTCCCTGTCCTCACTTGGTTCTGGGGATGACAGGCCCAGGTACCTCTGGCCCCCTTCCCGGGCGGCCCCAGGCCTCCACTGTGGGGAATGTTTCCTGGGCTCGCTGAAGGCACAGGGAGACCTGCCACCTCTTCCCCCAGCTGGTCAGTGAGGGCCTCACCAGTGGCTGGACCTCCTGGCTGGCCTGGCTAGGCCTCCTCTGCGTGGACTCAGTGGCAGCCACATCCCCCGTGACAACCCTCCCAGCAAGAGGGGACTTCCTGGTGGCTGGGTGGGGGCCTGCTCTGGCCTGAGAGTTCCTAGACCATCAGTTAGGGTGACAGAAGGCCTCAGGACCGGGAACACTGCCGATCGCTCAGACCCCAGGGAGGTGGCTGTGGAGGGGGTCCTCGCACCTAAGGACAGTGTGTCCGAAGGCAGGGTGTCCGGGTGACCCCGCTTTTCCCAGGGAGCCTAGGGCCATGCTGACTGCATTGCTCTGGGAGAAAGGGAGACGATGCCCAGCCTCTTCCCACAGGTTTGGCTGTTTGCAGGAACAGCCCAAGCGCCTACTTCAGGGAGGAAGCAGTGGAGGAAGAACAGAGCTTCAGAAACGAGAGGACGGGGCCTTCGGCCGCCGGAGGGTCCTACCCCAGAGGTGTGATCCTGGGCTCCCGGCCTGTTTCCCTCCTGTTTGCAGGCACTGACTCCCCGCCACCCCCCGCCTCCTTTTGGTGGGTCTCAGGCCCTGGGATGCGATGAGCCGGGCAGGACAGCTGGGAGGGGGTGCTGCCCTTGGGTGGGAGTCCTGGGGGCCCCGCTTTCTCTGAGGAACGTTCTGCACTGGGAGAGGAGGAGACATGACTGAGAGAGTCCCCCGAGGCCTCCTGAGGATGAGACCCTTCAGGGGAGACTGTGGGTGGGAGAAGGGCAATAGCCTTGCACCAGCCTGTCCAGCGAGAGGTTGGTGAGTGAAGCGCCGAGAAACTTCCATGGCGGCTGGTCCTGCCGTTTGGAACTGGGAAGAGGCAGCAGAAGGCATTCCTGTTTGGTGGTCTCGGGTCCTGGGGATGGTGGGCAGGGAGCAGTCGTCGATGCGGCCGCTGAGGCAGGCAATTCTTTCCCCGACCTTCCAGAAGGAAGCAGAGGTCAGCCCTCCTCCTACGGGAGCAAAATCCTCTGACCCCCTGCTGAATGGGCCACACGTGTCCCCTCGTACAGATGGGGAGACAGAGGTGTGGGCAGGTCAAGTGCGAGCACGGGGTTAGGAGTCGTTTTCATTGGCTACATTTCAGATCTCCGGCCTGCGGCGCTTTTTTGAGAACACGTGGCATCAAAAGCTGTTTTTGAAATGGAATCAGAATTTCTGCAAAGAGCCCTGGCCCTGGCTCGCTGCCCGGCTGATGCCACCGGAGGTTCATCTCTGAGCCGTTCCTACTTGAGGCCGAAGACCTCGGCCCGGCCCCAGGAACCACACAACCAGAGTCGCCTCAGCTCTGTGGACGCTCTGGGCCGGACGGGCCTTTGTTGAGCGTAGAGAGGTCTCCCGTGCACTGTCCGGAGCTTAGCAGCATCCCTGGCCCCGCCCACCAGAGGCAGCAGCATGCCCCTGAGCTGTGACCATTGAAAAGGCCCCGTCCATGGCTGAATGTCCCCTGGGAGGCAAGGACACGCCTCCAGTTGAGAACCGCTAGGTTGGAGCTTGCAAATTCTGGCTCTCGGGTCACATGCAGCCCTTACACATGTTTGGTTTGGCCTGCAGAGGGTTTTAAATATTTTCTTTAATTAATAGACAAACTTTTATGACCAGCATCTCCTGGAAAATCAGACGATTTGGCCACACACTGGCCGCCTCTCCGCCAGGCGGGAATCGGCCCCAGCTAAGGGAGGGGACTGTCTTTGGTGGGTCCGGTGGCTGCCAGTTCAGCAAAGTCCCCACCACTCCTTAGGGCAGGGGTGGGCAACCCCTGGCATGCGTGCCAAACATGGCACGCCAGTAACTTTTGCCGGCCACGCGAAACCCTCTCTTATAATCTTCCATTTACAATTTTTTTCTTAATATCGACTTTTTTTATTTTTCAGATAAATTCAGTGTAGGCGCACCTTAGATAAATAAATAGTTTTACATAACATGTATACATTAAAAAATAGATGTATTTTTCATCATCAGAGACTGTGTTTTTGTCGCTCGAATGAATTTTATTATTTCTTCAAGGTTCTTCACATACGTACACCTTAAGAGATATCGAGTAGGCGTAACACGTTCTCAAAAAATTAGGGTTGGCACGCAGAAGAATTTTGAGTCAGAGATTTTGCTGGTTTTGGCACGCACTCACAAAAAGGTTGCCCACCCCTGG